TGATCAACTATGTTTCATTCATTTGAAATTAAATGCCATTTTACATATAAAATTTACTTAAGTCGTCATATATTTCGGCCCCTATTTCCTTTCCGTGTTTTAGAGACAACTCAGGTATTATAGTTGTTGTTCAGGTTTGTGTGTTAAGGTTTACCTTGTTCGCACTGCTATTATTAACTAGTACACAGGCTATGCCCCAATGAATATGTATCTTATTATAATGTAATGATATATGTCGTAATGTATATTTCGTTGATCGCGTGTGCCCCGTTTTTCAATAAAAAACACTTTCATTAATAGAACGTTATCAAATTTGTCAATGTCTGCATCATTATACAAACAAACAACTAAACTTACAGTGCACGTCCAATCGTACTTGTGTAGACACAAATACATCTTGAAATTCGTCATTAAAGGCTTCACAAATATAAGTAAATCCATGGCTATATTGTGAGGTAGTCAAGGTGTAGTATTGAATTGTTCGCATTCCATTATATTCTGAAGCTATATAGGTCTTCAAGCTGGTTCCATAATTCAAAACTATATGATTTTGATACCATGTGAGATGTGCTATAGGATTACTGCTACATGATGTACACTGCAATGTAACTATATCTCCCGCGGTAATATTACCTGTTGGTCCCCTCAGTGATGTGGTGCAAGGTGATGGCTCGTTTGGTGGGACTGTAAATGAAATTAAACAAGTCTGGTCGATACAGCTTAAATGAGTAATACATTGAATGCATGTTTAAAATAAACATATGTCATACTTACAATAAACATATAATGTCTCCTCATTGGATAAAATAGTGTCAGTGAACTGTGTGTTATTGCCTTCACATTGATAAGATGCACAGTTATGTTCTGCTTGGACTGCGATGTGTAGATCCTGTGTTGTTATCGTACCATAGAATGCACCATCATATTCATTTTCAGGTCCAAGTGACTCATATTCGTCTTCTTGTAACGGGCGTCTGTCTTTGTACCAGTTCAAATGCGTTTCATGATTGCTGCCGTTTGTAATACACGTCATACGCAATGCTTCACCTGTTTTTGTTGTTTCACCAGGACCACTTAATGACACTGACCAAGCTTGAACTGCAGGTAACGTTTATGTTAATTGGTGCCTTACAATTATGTGCAAATTGAGTATGTAGACTGCGTAACGCATATACACATTCATTCTTGTAAAATTCAACATTGTACTCACAGTAAACCTCAAGAAATTCTTCTTCACTTGTTTGGCTCCCTGCTATGTTGCTCGCCATGCATGTATAGTAACCGCTATGTGATCTCAACACTGTTTTGATGACTAGCATAGGAATTTCATCACTCATTATAAGATTGCTATCCAGTGGTTTCAGAATGATGCCATCTTTAAACCAAGAATATGTAACGTTTCTTGGGTCATGTGTAACACACATCATTTCAACGTTTGTGTCACGTTCTGTCACTGTATCTGGTACTATAATGACAACTTTTTCAGGTGAAGCTGAGAATATAACAACATAGGTAATGCCAACTGCAATTTTTTTTTACATTATCCACGACAACATGCCATATAATGGTTATCTGCGTCAATGGTTCGCTATACCAGATGGTACGACATTGCCCAATCCTTTAACGATGGCTTTTGGACATACCTACCGAAGTGGTGTCATAATGATTTGAATAAATTAAAACACAGCAGCAGTTCATCTGAACATTGTCATTACTGAACGGTTCTTCGCGTTGGGCTCGTTAACCCAGCCAAATAGTTTCGCAACCTCATTGAAAACATTATTGAAATCAAATACAAACTAAAATGTCGTACAAGTGCAATTTACCGCCATACAAAAACAATTATTTCAGAATTACACAACAATGTTTATTTGTTCAACTGACCTATATTTATAACTATAACTGTGTGGTTTACTATAAGGTAAGAGTTATTTTTTATTTATGTACAGGTGATTAATGTATTTGCTTACATGGTCTACATACGACAAAACAATTCATTCCAACTACTTATTAGAATGTTTATCCTTGATTGTTTTGTGGGTATGATGTACTTAATGTTCCTCGCCAAATATGTTTGTCAATTTATGCGTGTACAGATTCTTTTATTGTAGATTTATATATATATCATTTTTGCAAACGCAAAAGGGACTTAATATATATGGTTTGCTGTTTCACTTACAATATACAGTAAGGTATGCTGTAGCCTGTATTGCATCACTAGGAATGACCACACCAGACACTTCACATGTATAACTGTCGTCATCATTTTTCACGATGTCATAAATTGTTAAGTCATATTGCCCATTACTTGTATCACCGGATACACTATGTTTCTCTGGATCCACAGCAACTCCATCCTTTTCGTCATAAATGATCAAACTGCCTTTCTTCCAATATAGAGATCCTTCCTTGTCAGATACAGTGCATTCAAACATAGCCCATGGATCGCCCTCTATGGCAGTAGTATTTTCTGGTGTTACACTGAACCACTGCGATGCTGAAATGACTAAATGCGTGTATTACTGTATGTGTATTGTGAATATAGACATCTTAGTGTTTCATTATATTAGTCATGATTTATTGCAACACACATTTCATTTACTATTTATTTTCTGTAACTTAATAAACATTGCATAATACCTGTTATGTATAAATGCATTACAACCAACTGCCAGGCAACCATGTTTACGGAATTGTTTTCGATTCTCCTAGAAATAAACGCAGTACATGAATATTTCACAGAATTATTGAAATATTGCTTATTTTAACATAAAGTGAATGCAATCATTGCTGCGCGTTTGTATAAATATCATTATACCCCAACAGAGGTGGACATACAGAAGGGCTCATTATCGACCGAGGCGGAGTCGAGGATGACATTGAGCCCTGAGGGTCACTAAAACTGTATGTCCATTTCTGTTAGCATGAATATGAATTTTTTTATTATTATTTTTAACGAATACAACCTTGTATGTTCCCCCGTGCGTAGTTGTGCTCGCACATGTTGTAGACTGCATGGGTATGGGATTTTTTCCATTCCAATTTACTTTCTGCGTATAAACTATATATGATATTTAGATATAGTGCCAAAATACACTAACTACCAAATAATCCTATTACCTAATTCCGTCCCGCTGCAAAGTCAACGATCCTCACATTTGCCCAAGCGCAGATCGATTGTTTAACAACGCTTAGCCGAGCGCACGGGCGAAACTTGCAACAAGCGTGACTATATCAAACACACGGAATCCTAGTTTTCTCGTCAATACGATAGTGACAAACTAGCAATATTTCTACCTATAATGCTGGAATTGGATTGGCTGTCATGTTAAAGAGGAATAATAATAATTATTATTATACATCTGTCACCGTCACGCCAGCGTGCTGTGATATCGCGGTATATTACGGGGTATTTTCATCCTACCATATTAGGAAATGCGAATTCCAAATATGGAATTATTACGCGCGAAAGCGTCCTCTAATAATAAAAACAAACAAGGCTGCCACCCGCGTTTTCTCCGGAATCAACACAAAGATGTTCGCTTATTCTGTTTTGAACGTTTTGAATTTCGGCATTCCAACGGTGTATTCCTGGAAAGAAAATATGTATAATAATAAGGTTATTACGAGGGTACCTCAAACTATGCACTCAGACACTACCTCGCGTCGGTCGATACTCCAACTGTACTGTATTCGTGCATTCTTTGAGGTATTCTCGTAATAAATTTTAATATCTGTGTATATACAATAATTTTGTCAATTTGACATATATTTAATTTATTTCCATGTTAACGTCACCACAATTCAAATGTTCACCCCAACAGAGGTGGACATACAGTTTTAGCGACAAAAAATCACAGCCTAGATGATGATGAGGTTGACAATGGGTTCCAAAGGTATCTAAAACTGCATATCCACCGCTGTTGGGATGATCATGTGTATTATTATACCGAATAAATCTTAAAACAGAAATTGTAACACTTAATTATAACAATCTTCACGCTCATAGATCTGAATGCATATGTGAACTCAAGTATACAAGTTGAAAGCGTTGAGGAGCACTGAGAGTTTTATCATGAAGGTCATTTTTTTACCAAGCACATACAATACGTCAAAAAATCGAACAAAGCGGTGCCGGCTATCTACAAAGTCCTTGACTCTTAAACTATTCATAGATATGAACAATAGTGGATCGAATGTATCAAAGTGCGCAGCCGAGAACGACGACGAAACTTGTGACAAGCACGACTAAAATCACGCGAAATTGCTACAAATTATTCCTGGTTGTCTCCCCCAATAAGAAATAGTGAAAGCAAACCTAGTAAATTAATTATATCATGGATATGCCTTGAAAAGTTATTGGCGTAAATCAGATAAATTCGTAGGAAGTTACCCGGAAGTAGGTTTACAAAGCAATATGCCCACCTGTAGTGTGCGAATCTGATTGCCTGTCATGGTCATGAAGGTGTAATATTGGTAAATGTACGTGAAATGTTTGTTTCGGGTAAATGATCGGACACAAGTACTGAACAAGCACAACGATGCCCAATGATATACTTGACCCTATATGTTTTCTGCATACAATATGGTAAATTTGCTGCCACAGATGTATACAAACTGGCAATGATTCACCATCTCCCACATCCCCCACATACCACTAGTTATATATCTGGTCATATATAAGCTGCAACCATCCTCTGACAGTTAACATGGTTAACGAACGATTTTGTAAATATGTAATATTCGATTGATAACGTAGCATGGGTCATAATACCAACATAACGACATACCTTTTTAGCAACGGCAGTAACATTGTAGACATCAAGTAGATAAGCAGGTAACAGGAATGACCTTCAACGTATATTATTGCCTGCGTATTCCGCCATTGTTGCCCTATCAACTGATAACGCCTAACACGTTAAATATTACCCGAGTGTTAAACGTGCGTCATCAATATTTGTTTGATACATAAGCTTCGTTGTTTAGTTGACAGTATTTTCTATTTTGATTTTAAATTATTCAATAATTTGCGTAAGCTGTCTTGTTGTTCCAGAATAAATAAACACACGAAAACACATAATAAATTACTGTTTTTAGAGTCTAGTAAATTGTATCCATACAACACAGGTTTGTCTGCAGATACTAAAAAAATAAGTGTCACTAAACATCCGGAAATATACTTGAAAAGAAAAGCGAAAATTGAATGTATATCCAAAAATGTTTTATAATAGTTACTGTTATGATATTCTATTTTTGCTGTAAAATGAATGTATTTTGATAATGCCCAGTTAGCTAGTGAGGCTTGCCCAGCTGCGGAATTAGAATAGACCGCATGTATTGTCATTGCTAATTAATATTCTTTTGTTCGTGCTTGTGCAAGACGAACGTGAACACGAGTTAATCAAGTTGTCACCCAGCTCCCGATCAGTGCAGTGCAGCT